TCACGTGGGCATGTCCCAGTGTTCCCAGCCTGCTGCACATGGCTAGTGGCTGTTTCATGGAGACACATTCTGTTTTTCATCCCTAATTTCTCCCAGTAATAACCCTGGGAAGAGCTGCCGTGGGTGCTGGAGGTGGCAGCTGTAGGGGCTCAGTGCCCTCAGGGAGCTGATCCCAGTGGTGGTGGGTGCTGGGAGGGAGGTTCCTCTTGGTCCCACAGCACCCATATCCCAGTGCTCCTGAGCTCTGCTGAGCCTTTTAGGAAGGGGAAACATTTTTTTCTCCTCCGTCTTTTCAGATTAGGAAGGCAGCAAAGCTTCTGTGCTCCAGGGCTGTTCCCAAGGGTGCTGTTTGATTGCTGCAGCTGAGGAGGCTCCTGTGTACCCATCCCTGGAAGTGTTCAAGGCCATGTTGGAGCAACCTGGTCTATTGGAAGGTGTCCCTGGATGTGGCAGAGGGTTGGAACAAAATGACTTTTGGGTCCCTTCTAACCCAAACTATTTTGTGATTTTACGAGTCCATACCTCATGGTTGGTGTACCCAACCTTCTGCTTTGTACTGCTCCAGTGCTGGTTTTCCAGACTAAAAATACCTCTTACTTTGACTGCTGTAAGGAAGAACACTTGCTCAGCAGGTTGTTTAGGATTCAGGGGAAGAAAGTTCAGGCAGAGCTCAATTAGTCTGCTTTAATTTACATGCCAAGTTTTGTGTCTGCATGATTTGCTTCACTTGTCTGTGCACATTTAAAAGCACAGAGCAGTACTGGGGGTGGTTAGTTTTACTGCACGTACTTACTGTAGAAAAGCAGTTGTTATTCACATGTTTACTGCCCTCCTAATAATGAAACTGCTGGGTTTTCTGGCAGATTAAAAAAAAATGTAGTGCTGTGCTGAAATGAGCAGGATATGTGGGAGGATTAAGCTCTGTGGTGCAGATCGTGTATCTCCTCGTCACCTCTGACTACTCCTGCTCATTCGTGCTGTCTCCCTGTGTAGTGGTTAATTCTGGGAGTTCTTCTCATAAGGGATCCATGTCTGGATGCAAACTGGACAAGAAGTTGCTAAATTTCTTTGTGATGCACCTGAATTTTTTCTTACTCAGAAGTTGTGGCCATACTTGGCTTTAGTTGGAAGCAAATATTTTCTGTACAAGAAATCCCTGTATTTCCTATGGCCCAGAATCACAGAATCATTAAGGTTGGAAAAGACATCGAGTCCAAGCTAGGAAAAAGTCCATCTCAAAAAAACCCCTCCTTGTCCATATACTGTCCATTCTGACAGCAAAGTACCGCATGCATCTGGAGAAAACCTGCAAAAAAAAAAATTATGAAGTTAAAAATTAGGAAAATCAGGTTTTGGGAACAGAGCAAGGACCCAGATGAATACTTTTCCCTGTGTCCTGAACTTGCTGTATTTCCTATTCCTGCTTATTAAGCAGGCAGCCGACAGCTGCTGGCAAAGCTAGGGAATAGCAGAGAAGTGCAGCGTGTCCAAAAGCTCTCCAGGCCTCTTTTGGGCAGCAGCCTGGGAGCAGCTCCTGAGGCAGGTTATCTATAGGCCAACTTTGGCCAAGGATCTCTGCGTGTCCCAGCCACAAATAGCACAGCAAGCTGCTCCTTTGGCCTGTGGAAATGCTGGTTTTACTCCAGTGGGAAAGGAGAACACAAGTGTCTGTCGTGCAGGAGGATGGCAGCAGCCAGTCCAGCTCTTGGTGGCAGCTCCTGGAAGAGTTATGTGGATTTTTTAATTACTCCCTCACTGTCTGCTGGTGCCTAATGAGTGCAATCAGCAGCAGCACTAATGAGATGGCTGCCCTGAGACCCACGTGTGGGGTTTTGGGGATTTGGAAGACGTAATATAAAAGTATGTCTCTGATTAGGAGCAGAAGTGCTGAGTTAATAGTCCTTGGCTATTTAATTCACAAGCAATGGTTGTCTGCGGTTCAGATCTTCAGGACTGATTAGGTAGTGATGACCATGCATGAACGATTCTCTGGTAGGAAATTTTGCCAACATTTGGAGAGCAGCAAAGCCCCAGACCTTGCCATCCATCCTTCCCTTGGTGATTGCAGTATGATCTATGTCCTGATCCAGTGTGGGCTGTGATTCCTGCAAGGAAGTTAATTTAAATATTTTAATACCCCCTTTTTAATGTTAGGGATGGAAATGTTGTCTTATGGCCAGAAGTCCCTGAAAACTGTTGATGATATTCAGTGGACAACCCTGTCATTTGGCCTTTTGACCCGTGTGGCTGATTGTGGGGCCCTTTAATGCAAACTAATGTGCAGAAATGGAGTGTGACAGTCTGGAGAGGAGCTGGAGCTTCCTGCAGGCTCCAATTCCTGCTTCCTGCCACAGGGAATGCACGGCTCTGGTGATTGTATTCCCATGATGATCGATTTCCCTGTTTATATTAAAATACATGTTTTCACCATAGAACCGCAGAGTGGTTTGGGTTGGGGTGGGACCTTAAAGTTCATCTCGTTCCACCCACTGCCGTGGGCAGGGGCACCTTCCACTATCCCAGGTTGCTCCAACCTGGCCTTGGACACTTCCAGGAATGGGACAGCCACAGCTTCTCTGGGCAACCTGTGCCAGGACCTCATCACCCTCACAGCCAAGAATTTCTTCCCTATATTCCACCTAAGTCTGCCCTTTGTCAGTGGGAAGCCATTCCCCCTTGTCCTGTTACTATGTGTTTTACATGTGTTTTACATGTGCTTAATTCAAGGTGTCACCCAAACCCATTATAACATGTCTGCATTTGGAAAATTTTGGAATACTGAACGTACACCAGCTTTGAGTGCAGCACAGGGGATCTGAACATGCACAGTCTTTTCAAAGCAACAAAAGGGAGAAGCTCTGTCTTCCCTCGGAGTGACAAATCCCAAGCCTCGGAGGCAGGCAGCCGAGATGTCCATTTCCGTGAGCAAATCTCCTCCTTTAAAGCTGCCTGTGCCATCTGGCGAGGAGCACGTCAGGGATCCGAGTAGGAAACGTTTGGATTTTATTCATCAAATGTGTGTGATGCAACATGGCCTCAGAGTGTGTGACTGGGCATCAAGGCTTTTCCTGGAAATACCTGCCTTGTAAACACAAAGAGTTTTAATTAAGTGTTGCTTGGTGGCATTTGATTCATCCCAAAAGCAAAAAGCCTTTGAGAAAACAATGTTTTGAGTTCTTAGGGTGTAATTTGTGGTGATTATTAATATCCCAAGAAGGGGGTGAGCTGCTCTGATCCCCCTCAGATCCACCGCAGGAGGGGTTTCCTCGAAGACCTTCCCAAAAAAGAGCTGTGGGATTGCAGGGAAACCTGATGAAGAACAATCCAAGCAACCAAAATAATTTTCAGTTTCTCCCAAAAAAACTAAACTATGGAGTTTTCCAAACCAGTTGGTTTTGGAGTCTTCAGTTTATGAGCAACACACATTCAAAAAATGAACAAATGTAATTAAATTACTTTTTAAAGCAATTATTTCAGGCTTCTTGGAGCAGGCAAAGCAAATATTAGAAATATTATCCTTGCTGAGAACAAAGTTAATTTTATAATATGTAGCAAAAGTTTCTTAAAAATTACAGATTTAAAGTGTGAGCATTCAAATTGTGTTTTCACAGACATGTCAAATCTGTGCCTGTTTAATATGTTTTAATGTCTTGATATAATCCCCCCTCTGGCTATAACTAGATACTACTATATAAAAATATATAATGATATATGTTTTATATTAGTATATAGATATATTAATATATAAATATGTTAATATACATTAATATTTATCACATTAACTTGATAGTGCCTGGTAATTGCGAAGATCAGCTCATTAGATGAGTAGAAATGTCCATGGAAGTGTGAAATTCTGTTACGATTTTCATTTAATTACAACTTAGGGATATAAACTGTGAGCACAGGAAACTGTGTTTTGAAGAACATGTCAAATCTGTGCCTGTTTAATATGTTTTAATCTCTTAAGGTAATCCACTCTGGCTATAACTGGATATTAACATATATGAAAATACTATAATGTATTCATATACCAGTGTCTCAGTAGATCAGTCTATTAGCGTGTAATTGTATCACTAGAATAATATTAATATGGAAACATTAATGTATTAATATGCGATATGCAGTATAATGATATTAATGTAAAATACTCATTAAGTATGATATTATATATAAGGCATATTACCATACATTATATATTATCATGGATATAATTATATATAAAATGTATATATAATATAAATATATGCTATTAGATATAGCATATATATCATATATTACCATATATGATCATATGCAATAATGATATTAATGTAAAATACTCATTAAGTATGATATTATATATAAGGCATATTACCATACATTATATATTATCATGGATATAATTATATATAAAATCATATATATAATATAAATATATCAATCTATTAGTATTAATATATTAATATGTAACATATAGCATATATATGAGATATATATATCATATATTACCATATATTATCATATGCAATATATAGTATATTATTGTATAGATGATAATATATAGTGTATGATAACATACATTATATATAATATATTACATAATTAATATTTTACATTAATATCGTTATACTGCATATCGCATATTAATATATCAATGTTTCCATATTAATATTATTGTAGTGATACAATTACACGTCAATAGACCGATCTATTGAGACATTGGTATATGAATACATTATCATATTTTCATATATATTACTATATAATTTCGGGTTTATTTGTGAGGGAAACGGGAGGGACCATCCATGCGCGAGGCGCGGGGGTCGACGGGGCAGGCGAGGGGGGGCGCGGTGCGGGGCTTCGCACCCACTTTCCCCCCTCCCTTCCAGTGGTACAGCCCGCGGCGGGAAACCCCGCTCCCGGCTCCCACACAAAGCGGGCGCAGTTCCCGGCGCTGCCGCGGGCGGCGCTGCAGCGCCCGCCCCGCCGAGGGGCCCGGATGCGGCCGCGCCGGAAGAGAAGCGCGTCTGCCTAGGGCCCGCCATCTTGTGCGGCAGCGAGCAGGGCGCGGGGGGCCCCGGTAGCATCCGCGCAGGATCCCGCCGACGGGGGCCCATCATGCCCGGACACCTGCAGGAGGGCTTCGGGTGCGTCGTCACCAACCGCTTCGACCAGCTCTTCGATGACGAGTCCGACCCTTTCGAGGTGCTGCGCGCGGCGGAGAGCCGGAGGAAGGAGAGCGGCGGCGGCGGCGGCGGGAGCCAAGCGGGCGGTGGGGCCCGCGGCCCGGCGGGCGCGCAGAGCGGCTCCTCCGGCGGGGCCGGTGGCGCGGGCCAGGCGGGCGGCGGTGCGGGTAGCGCGGCTAAGCAGCTGCGCAGGGAGTCGCAGAAGGAGCGCAAGAACCCGCTGCCGCCCTTCGCCGGCGGGGACCGCCGGGAGGACGGCGGGGGCCAGCCCGGAGCGCCGCTGCGGAAGGAGGGTGAGCGGGGCCGGGGCCGCGGGGAAGGGAGAGCGGCCCGGCCCGCACAAAGGGGGCCCGGGCAGGGCCGGGCCGCACGTGGGGCCGCGCATGGCGGAGCCGCCCGGGAGCCCGCCCGGGCAGAGGGAGCGGGAGCGGCGGCCGCGGGCCCGCCCGGCCACACGTGTCCCGCGCAAAATGGAGTCGGGCGTGCGGGGGGCGCCCGGGGCTGGCCCGGGCCCGGCAGAGGTAGAGAACTGACGTGAAATGGGAAATCCTGGCAGTGTATAGGATCGTGGAGTGGTTCGGGCTGGGAGAGACCTTAAAGCTCATCCCGTTCCAACCCCCTGCCATGGGCAGGGACACCTTCCACTAGACCAGGTTGCTCCAAGCCCCGTCCAGCCTGGCCTTGGACACCTCAGGGATGGGGCAGCCACAGTTTCTCTGGGCAACCTGTGCCAGGGCCTCACCACCCTCACAGGGAATAATTTCTTCCTAGTTTGCAATCTGAACCAGCACATGGAATCCTGGAATCCTTTGGTTTGGAAAGGACCTGAAAGGTTATCTCGTTCCACCACCCTGCCATGTGCAGGGACACTTTCCACCAGACCAGGTTGCTCCAAATCCCGTCCGACCTGGCATCCTGAACTTTAATCGTGTTTTGGGTGGCCCAACGGATTTGACGGGATATCTGGCAGTCCCTGGGCTTTCCAAAATCCACTCGGGTCGTTTTTCTAGGGAACAGCATCGATAGCAATCATCTGCGTGTCTTCATATATTTAAATAATAGCTCGTATGGGTTCTCAGCTCTGTTTGTGTAAATCCCGAAGACATCCCACACGGGAAACCTTGGAAAAAAGAAATCCAAGTATAAATAGGTTAAAGGAATATGGTGTGTACAGAGCAATTAGTAGGACAGGGTCACGCATGGAGAGGGATAGATGTGGACACATGGCGTCCCCAGCCCATGTTGTACCGCGCCCAAACTTCAGCGCTCGTCAGGTGGATCAGGACTAGGATTAAAAGGAATCCTTGAAATGCAGCAAAGTGTGGTGACAGCAGGTGATGTGGGGGTGAGGGGATAACATGTTAACTGCAGTTTAAACGAGCTTTTCAGAAATCTTGATCTTACGTGACAGCATCTTAATGCTTCAGCATTTGGGTTGCAGAATGATTCCGCACTGTGTTTTATGCTTTTTGAGAAAGAAATAGTTTTAATATAGTTGTTTTGGAAACTGGGTCTTCTAAATGTTATTTGAAAATGCCTTGTAAAAAGACAAATTTAGGAACTATGTTGCAGTTGTCTTTGCTTATGGATCTCTTGTTCCCTAACACTCGAGTGTTTTCAGTGTGAAGGATGCAAGGATTTGTCCCGACTCACAATTTGCTAAGCCGGTGTCCTCTGGAAGTGTTGGTCAGGTGTAGATTCTGGTGGTGTCCCCCACGAGGTACACCTGGAACATGGCAGTGCCTTTGGCACCTCAGCAGGACACTGAGGGGTTTGGGCAGGGCTGGCAGGCCGTGTTTACCTCATAGTTTTCACATCTTGTTTTCAAGAAGAGTGTGAAAAATAAATATTTTCGTAGCTTATTATAGTAATGAAACAGAGAAAGTCGGGGCTGCTGTTGAAGCAGTGGCCGTGGAGCAGTGTGGTAAACAAAGTCACTTTCCAGTTTGAAAACGTCTATTTTTGTGTGTGACTGTTTTTGCACTTCTGGCATTATAAAGGTGCCTAGTGCCGAGGTTTGTTTCCTGTGCGAATGTATTTAAAAGTGTTCCACTACTCCACGAAGCTGCAGGTGATTTGACTGGTGAATTAGCAGTTCAAAGCTTGGTGATACTGAGAAATAACTCGTATTTTGGGTTAGGCTTCAGCAGGAACCGGGTTTTGCTGAGCACAGGGCGTTGAAGTGGAAATTCAAAAGCCGTGGCTGTTCCATTCCAGTTCTGCAGCATACCTCCTCTGTGCCACTGGCCTGCTCCTTTCCCTGCTTCCCCTCCTCACATGGAATGCTTGTCCTCCTTGGAGAGCCCTTTTCCAAGTGCAGGCTGAGGAGATTAACCCCTTGTTTCCTCAGTGAGTGAAGAATGCTTAAGAAGCTATGAATGTCATGCAAACTTCATGTTAAGTACAGCCTGTAAGGTGAGGGAGTCATTGTTCATCTGGGCGTGTTGGCTTGGATATCATTACAACTGTAACTTCTGTAGCCCCACCCAAATTTGACATTGCTTGTTAAGCAGGAACTTAGTTATTTAAAAAAAATTCAAAAATCAGCTTTTAATTTAAAAGCTAGTTCATAGTTCTTGAACCAGTGTTTTGGCAAGAAAATGGTATAACAAAGCAGCAATATGTTTGTGCAGATCTTTCTAAAGAAGAGTAAACAAGGCCTTTCACTTGAGTGGAAAAGAAAACTGTGTTAGATCCTTCAGATAGCTTAGTGAAGAAGAGAGTGCCCACGGGAGGTTTTTATTTAAAATAAAAACCCTCTCAGAAGGCCTAGGGAGGGAGGAAGGACACTGGGCAGCTCCAGGGCACGGGATTCTTAAGCTATTTTAAGCAGTGAGCAAGGAAGAGAATCTTTGTCAGGGAATGTCTGTTGGACTGGGAGGATCCATGTGGATGGGGGCACCAGTTCAGTACCTGCAGTACTGGGATGTAGATGGCACTTGTCTGGTACAGGTGGACCTGCCTGGATTGTACTGCTGTCCAAAAGAGTTTCCAAGAAAACAGAACCCCAGGTTTAGGTTGGAAAAGACTTCCAAGATCCATGAGTCCAGCCTTTAGAACAGCACAGGGTCACTGTCCTAGGGAGCACAGAGTTGACTGTCTTAGGACCCAGTGACGTGATACTCACTTTGTTTTGGTGTTCATCAAAATAAACCCTCCCTTTTTTTTACCTGAAAAGGACCTTTCAGAGGAAGAAAAATACTAAAAAATCTTGCTTACCTTGATCCTTGTTTGAAAGTTGACTTTGTCATTTTAGCACAGATTACCAATATTTTCAATCAAACACAATTTGACTGAAATCCTGGGTAAAAATGTGAAGAGTGAGATGCTCTGCAGTGACTTTTTTATGAAGGTGGAGTTGCTCAGACTTTGTAGAAGCAGCTTGTTTTTAGGGTGCTGGGGGTCGGTATCTGTCCTGGAGCAGCTCCACATTCCGTTGATGTGTCTGGCCTGATGTTTCAGGGATAAGGAGGATTGGCAGGAGGCCTGATCAGCAGCAGCAGCAGCAGCAGGGGGATGGCAAACCCATCGACCGGAGACCTGAACGACGACCTCCCCGGGAACGCCGCTTCGAGAAACCTGCCGAGGAGAAGGGAGAAGGGGGAGAGTTCTCTGTCGATAAGTAAGTTTCGTCTTGTAGGATAAGGAGCTTTCCTACTTCTGACAGGACAGGGCTACCCTGCCTTCTGCTGTAAAGTTAAAAAAGCTGATTGAATCATAATTAAGTTGATTAAATTTTTGTCATGCAAAAGAAGAGCAGATGTCATACAATTCTCTTTCCCTTTCTGTGATTTTGTTTGCAAACTTAAGTTTTAGGCTGGGAGTGATCTACATAAATAGCTTCATAGGTGTAACTGAAATTGTGGTTTAAATCAAGATATCCACCATATCTCTCTAAATCTGTAGCAGATAGCTCAGGAAAGGAACTGAAACTGTTTCCTGCAGGATGAGATTTGTTTGCTGTCACAGCTGTGGCTTTAATCTGTACAGCTGACTCAAAGCCAGCAAAAGTTTGTCCACATAGGTGCTTACACCTCGGCTGCAGTGGGTTCAGACCTGGAAGAAGTGAAGCCATCTTAGGCCAATGTGAGGTTTAAAGTGGCTCGAGTATTTGAGGGATCCATAATTCAAGTAATGTTCAAATATTAAAATTTTAGCAGCCAGAATTAAAATCCTGTTAAAAATAAAGTGAGTTAAGTTGGAATTGTAGTATCAGCCAGTTATGTAGAAGAATACAAACACTAAATTTTGGAACTTAATGCCAGAGAATGCAAACAAACAATAATCCCAAGCATTTGTTTCCGGATTCTAAAATCTCAGAATCACAGAATGGTTTGGGTTGGAACAGACCTTGAAGATGATCCAGTTCCAACCTCCTGCCATGGGCAGGAGCACTTTACACTAGACCGGGGTGTTCCAAGCCCCAACCTGGCTTTGAACACTTCCAGGGATGGGGAGTACAAGAGGCTGTTTTGAAACTAAAGCTTTGACCCAGTTACGAAGGAAAAATAAGTAAGTAAAATTCGCAAAGAGGACAAGAGCAGTAAAAACCATGCTGTAGATTTTTGGGGGTGAGTCACTCACATTTGTCTGTCCATGCCAGGCCCATCATTGACCGACCCATGCGTGGACGTGGTGGACTGGGCCGGGGCCGTGGCCGCGGCCGTGGGATGGGCCGAGGAGATGGGTTTGACTCCCGTGGCAAACGGGAATTTGACAGACACAGTGGCAGCGATAGATCGTAAGTCTTTAACTTTTTCTAAATTATTTGGCTTTTCTTTACAATTCTTACGCAATTGAAAATTGCTCTTTGAATCTCTGTGTCTGGACACTATGATGTTAACTCAGTTTTGTTAGTTCTGTTTCACATTCACATTTCAGCGGCCTAAAGCACGAGGACAAGCGCGGTGGCAGCGGCTCACACAACTGGGGAACCGTCAAAGACGAGCTCACGTGAGTACTCTGTCCTTGCTCACTAAAATATTAGCAGGGTGTTAATCAGTCCTAATTAGAGCTTACAGAACGCACAGATTTACCTGCCTTTTGACCTTTGATTTTGATAATTTTACTGCTCTTCTGCAGAATTAAAAAATGAGCAATTTCTTGTAACTTAAGAGATGGCTTCACTGTTAAACTGGAATTTTGGGGAAGTTTAGATTGGGAGGTCTTGTGCTGATCTTTGAACAATTCTTTTACTAGAAACTTGAACAGTTTTTAGATCAGGTTAAGCATGCTTTTCCTATTACAAAAATTCAAGTATTACATTGAAAACTATTTTTAATAGTTTTAATAGTTTAATGACCCAAATCCATTTTGTGTCAGAGGGACAATGGGAGGCTTTCAAGGAGGGGTTCAAGGAAGAGTTGGGGAAAACCATTAGTTGGGTGAAAAACATAGAATTTGATAGACACAGACAGCACCAGTCCTTAGTAAAATAGTAAATCCTCTATAGATCTTGATTGTTAATCTCATGTAGCTTTAAAGAGGGATGAACTTGTAAAAAGCCCAAACTCCACCCGTTATGTAATTGCAGTGAATTGGATCAGTCAGCTGTAACTGAGGAGACGCCGGAGGGAGAGGAGCATCCGCCTGCTGATTCTGAAAATAAGTGAGTACCACCCCTCTTCGTGTCTTTGGTTGCTCCAGAGGTACTGGTGCTTTGCCTTTAACCTCTGACATTTATTCCCCCATCAGTTTTGCCAAATTCAGATTTGTCAGTAGATGATCCACAATGCTGCTGAACCACTGTCATGTTAAAAACTTCATGTCTGAAAATTGTGGTCTTGAAAATGTTCCTTGGTGTCCTGCAGGCTCTTGGGTCACTTTCAGATTTATTTATTAATAATAATTTCTAATACACTTTACGTCTCAAGATTGCAACTCCTGATTCCAAATCCAGAAGCACCTGTGCTCAGAACTAGGTAGAGCCACTAAGCAAAAGGGACAAAATACCAGTGGAAGGCAACTTTTTTAAGCTTAGTTTTCCTAAATAGCTTTGAGACTGTGTCACTGGCTGTAGGAGAAAGGTTGTATTTCTAATTCTCCAGCCTCTGTGTGTGCAGGCAGTTTTCAGAGTTGTCTGGATCTCTTTCCATTTCATTTGGACACTGTTACAGAAGGAACCAGTGACTGGGTGAGTGAAAGAGTAACCAGAGAAGCAGAACAAGTGTTACTGAGTTGGTGTGAAAATATGATGAAAATTTTTATGGTAGCACAGTACAATAAAATACTGTTTTAATGAGGAATGTGCTTTATAGTGGATTCAAAAACAATGGCAAATGGATAAGACAGAATTTTGATTTCTGATCTGGAGTTTGCTGTACCTTGATTTCCTCACTAATAACTTTGGCAAAGAAGGTCCAGTTACTGCCTAGAAAGTAAGAAATGGATTTAGTTTAACTGAAAAAAGACTAAACATTCTTACTTCTCCAGTGTTGTGATCCAAGGTTAAGGACATTTTTAAGGACTTAAAACTTGGGCATTGGTCAGAAAATGCAGGCTAGCTAGTCCTTAAAAAAATTCTAATTCTAAAATTCTAAAAAAATTCTAAAAAAAATAAAGAAATCTGGATATATTAAATTTGCTGTATCTACAGTATTCCCTGGATCTTTAGTAGTAGCAGTGCCTGGTGCTTGACCAGATACTGACCCATCCATGTGCAGATCAGTTACCTGCACAACTCTGCAGCTCTTTGGATGTTTTTTTCTTCATCAAATCTGCAGAAAATTCTCAGTTTCAAGCATAAAACATCTGTTGTAATCATTAGTTGTCTTTATAGGAAAGCATTTTTACATGGGTTACTTTTCAAATTGGCTGGTTTGGTGTGGATCTCTACCCTAAATGTTTCATCAGAATTGTAGGATGTTTTTCTGCAGTAAAATGTGCAGGTAATATCTTTGCCTTGAACAAAACAAATTCCTGTGATTACATATGGTGTCAAAAATCACTCTGTCCTACACAATGAGAAAAGAAATACAGTAATTTTGACATAAAATCTCTGTGTTATTACATCAAAATTAATGGCTACCAAATAAAGACCTTTGAGGTTGAGGCTTTCATGATCTTTTTGCTGCTCTCGTTTTCTATAAATCAGAAATTTAGTTGCACGAACACACTGAACAGTGTCCAGAGGCTTGTCCTCCTGTGTAGCTGGAAGATGTCTATTACTGGGCATAGTGGTTGTGTGTTTTACTTAGAAATAGCTCTTTGGCAGAAGGCAGAGGTGATGTATCTCACAAGTAAGTTGTGTGCTGTTGCTTTTTCAAATAAGCTGGAAGTAAAACTTGTTTGAAATAATTGTCTTTAGTTTAATAAAGGAAGCAAGCTCTCCAATTTTTATTAAATTCGATTTTAAAAAAAAACCTAAAAAGCGTGAAAACTCTTGGAAGAACAAGTTCTCACTGCCCTAACTTGATTATTAATGAGAGATGTGCCTCAAAAAGTGGGTAAAGCTCCAAACATGTCCATTGCAGAAGTTAGTCTTTAATATTTATAAATAAAATTGTCATTAATGTGGAGAATTGATGGCACAGGTCAGTTTTAATTTTAACGTTTTGCTGTGCTCACTATTTAGTTGCTCCAGGGTGACTGGGTGTAATTTTTTTTGGTTTTGTACTCTGGCTAAAGGAGATGAATTTTCCTGTGGTGCAAGTGTGTGTTTATATTCATACAGCTCTTAACTTCTAAATACTTGACAAATGTATATTTATAATTGAATTTATAATCTGGTGCCAGCTAACTAGCAGATGATTTTGGAGTTGTATTTGGAGTATAAATTCTAGGTCATGATCATAATATCCATGAATTTACTGCAGAGAGAATGAGGTTGAAGAAGTTAAGGAAGAAGGCCCCAAGGAAATGACCCTGGACGAGTGGAAAGCCATTCAGAGCAAGGATCGTGCAAAAGTTGAGTTCAACATCCGTAAACCAAACGAGGGGGCTGATGGACAATGGAAAAAAGGATTTGTTCTTCACAAGTCAAAGAGCGAGGAGGTAAAGTGACTTTCCATGCTTGTAGTATCCAGTTTATAAAAACTTTGTTATTGATAGGCATTTCTTGGAGTGGAAGCACCGTTGTGTGAGACACTGACCTGCAGCTGGAAGTTTATAAAGTGCAACAACATTCTTTTAGCAGAGTTGAAGTTCTGCAGTAGCACAGGTGGCCATTCTGACTGTGGTTGGTTTTGGGTGAGCTGTACCCTTAGGCTGGCATATAGTCTGGTATAACCTAGAGATAAGCCTGGATTACTGCTGCACCTAGGCAGGTAACTCTGTAAGAACTGCCTCGTGGTGAGGATTTTAGAGAAAGGTTGTCAGGTTTTCTTGTTAATAAAGGAAATTTAATGCTATTTAATGTCTCTGTTAAGCAATACACAAAGTTATGGTGCTTGCTAAACACAGTGTAAGATTGAGGGAAGACTGGTTATGCCTCAGAGACCTTAATACCTCAGCTGTGTACCTTAAATTTCTAACATGGGTGTCTTCTCATTTTGTGATATACAGACAAGCTTTTGGGAAACCAGTTGAAATACATTTGTATGCTTCAATGATACTCAGCATAGTTCCTATAGAATTGTTTTAAAATCGAAGTTTTCTCAAGCATACTCATTTCAGACATTGCAAAATGTTAATTATTCTGTTCCAAGAGTGGCAAGGAGAGATGTACAAGGGAGGGAAGTGCTGAGAGCTCTGTTTTGTAATGCAGGGCTGCCTTAATCTTTGGTTTTAATCTTTGCTTTTAACACTCTGTAATATGTTAAGTAACTCACTTAAGAGATTGGTGGATGCAACTTTGTATACAGACGGTTATGGCTCCTTTGAAGTAACTAGATAATATGTAATATTCTGCTTGGTCTCCTAATATGTATTCTTGCCTTTTCACACCTTGCCGGTTCTTATCCTGTGAGCTGGGTCATAATACAGATGGGGAGGTATTTTCCAGTTTTCCAATGAAAACTCAATTTCTGTTCTCATTGAACTCATTCTGAGTTTGACTTGGTCACAGTCAGGCTATTTTCTTGCTCTATGAGGTAGTTCAGTTCTTTAAATGATTGCATGTCTGTTTTCCTTAAGCTGTTTAATGAAGTGTTCATTAAATGCTGTTTTCTCTGGCACGTGTAGAAAAGGGAATTTGAATTGCACTTAATGTTGCTGGGTACTAAGAATTTATGTACTTTACTGGAATTTACTAAGCCTGTAGTCCTTCAAGTTCCCTCAATCTTTCTGAATCAGGTTTATTTGACATTTCATCAGCTGAGGACAGTCTTTTTTAACACACGAGCATGTATGATAGTATAAGATGATGGTACTCATGAGCGATTTAGAGACTAGAAAGATCCATACTGTATTTTCCATTTGAAAACTGAATCAGCGCTTAATGAAAAAAAAAACAAGGAAAAAACCCCCAAAGAACAGACAAATCCAAACCAAACCAATTAGAATAATCAATTTACTTCTGTGGAAGAACTGACATGATTAGTAGGTTGTTCTATTTGAGAGGTTAACTTTTCTTCAGATAAATAAGTTGGATATTTTTAGCACTGTCACATAAGAAGTTAACAGCCTCTTGCTTTGTAAGCATGAAAGTGAGGTATTAACAAATCTGCCTTTAAATTTAGATGCTTTTAGCCTGCTTTATTGTCTGTCCCGCAGATGTGTCTCCCCATCTCACTTATCCATTGTTCCCTGATCCCATGGGAAACAGTGTGGGGATTTTCTCCCTGGATTATTGAAGAATAGCTCTGTAATAGCTTTCTGTTAGGAAAGCCTTTGCTGCGGCTCGTTTGTGAAGGTGGAATATTCAGAAAACGTACCAGTCACCTGCTGTTTCCTCTCTTTGTCCTCTTGGACTTACTTATGAGTCACAAAATTTAGGTTGCTCGAAGGTTTCTGTGATTCTTATTTGTAAGAAGGGAGATGATGTGTGGAAGTGATTTGGTTTATAGGTAAATTGTGGGTTTCAGCCCCAAATCTTCTGTATTCTTATGACTGAAAACCACCATGTGTCCCAGTAGATTTTCTCAGAAATTTGGATTGACGTATTGTGATGAGCTCCCTCATTCCTATAGTTGAGAACTACTGGAAAATTGCCATAGGAGTCTGTGGGAAAAGGGAGCCTGAGGATCTAGTGCTTTTCATCTACCTTAGTCTTGGGAAAGAGCTCTCCTCCTCATGCTCCTCACTGAGGGGTGAAATACTTGACCATGTCTGAGGTCTTTCCTCTTTTTCATTTTTTCTCTGCAGTTACTAGAAAGTGATACTTTGGATAAAATGAATTCTCAGTACTGTCTCAGATTCTTGCTGGTTTAATCTGAATTCCATGGACATTGGCAGCCCTGGTCTGATGAGCGTCTTTCCAGGAGATTGGGTTATGCCATAAAAGAGAGATCCTCTTTTTAACTTCTCTGCAGCTGGTTTAGGACTTGAGTCTTTAATTTCTACACAAAAAAACAAACAAAAAACCCCCCCAAAACCCCAAACAAAAACAAACCAGGAAGGAGTTACATTGTGGACAGATCTTAAAATTTATTCCAAAAGTTGAAGGCTGGACTTCTGGAAAGACTGATACACTAATCAGTTGTTGCTCTCTGTACCTGCTGTGCCTCTTTGTGTGCCTTCAAAGCTTCTCACTAATCCAATCACTTCCTTAGAGGAGGTTGCAGTGGGAGACTGAGAAATACATTTTGTAAAAGAATAGTTCATCTTCTCAAAACCTGGAGGAACGACTCTTGGCTGGAGGCTCTGCAGGAAGCTTTTCCATTAACAGTGATTTTAACATCCCGCTCTTCTCTGCCCATCTCCCCATGGTGCTGGAGACCAGCCTGCATGTGTGGTCTGTGCCAGAGCTCCCAGTAGCTCCTGGTGAACCTTCCTGGTGTCCATCTGAGCTTTCTCTTGTCTCCACCGCTGTGGCACATCCATCCTCTAAATCTCTTTGGGTGCTTGCACAGCTTCATCTCATCCCTTTGCTGCTTTGTGTGCTCATTGACATCTGTACCCAGCGAGTTCATGTGACCTGATTACCTGTTGTTTCTGTATGTAGTTGAGTCTCATTTCTTCCTTTTGTTTTCTCCCTTTGTTCTTTTGTCACTTTGGCGTGGACACGCAACTTTCATCAGACAAAGGCGATGACAGAAATGCAGGGGAGTCTGCTGGATTCAAATGAGGTACTGATCCTTTCTATCTAACTGGGGATACCTGTGTGTTAACATGAGCCCCTCCAGAAGGGAAAGTTTGCGCAGTAAAAACTCACCAAAATAGAGAACACAAGTGGATTCACTATGGAGCTCTTCTGTCCGTGCCTGTTGTCTCACTGTGCACAGCACCCTTCATGATTAGTCCCCTTGCTCCTCGTTCACCCAGTTTCAAACCTGACCAGAAATGCTTCTGTCACGAGTCTTTATTTTTTTGTTGCTGGTGTTTTTACATCTCTCACTGCCTGCTTTGGCCCTCTTGGTAATTCGTTCTTAATTTTTGTCAGCCTTCCCCAAGGCCCTTAAGTGCAGCACTGGTTATGAGATCAGAGCACTATTGAGAGTTGCCACTACATAGAAATTATGTTTCCAGAGATTATTCAGGATAAGCAATTTGTTCAGTATCTTTGTGTCTTTTGTCACCTAAGTGATTGAAGAGCCCGAGGAGAATGTGCCAAGTCTTTTATTTGTCTTTTAAATAAGCTTTAGTTACTCTGGATAGAGAAATAGGTTATGTGTGGAATTTGCTTTTTGTTGGTTCAGTGGTTAAAGTTGTGAAAATAGAGTGTTTTTTGGTAAACTGTAGTGATTTGTTTTTAAACAAAAACAGCCTAGGGAAGAAAATCACAGAATTACTGTAGAAATCCATTGACATTATCGCTCAGAAAAGAGAATGTCACATGGCTACCAGTAGATGAAAATAAAATGTCAGTGCTCTGCAGTGATCAAAACTGTAGATAAAAAATGAAGTAGTAAGAAAGGAATAAAAAACATAACTGAGGTATTTTGTACTGTTTTACAAAGCGTTGATGTACTTTGGTTTGAGTAGTGCCTTGTCAGGCTGAGGTGTGGAATGACTTTTCTCTGGGAAATAACTGCTCAGGCAAACTTCCTAAGGCTGGCAGAGATCTCTGAGGGAAGGGTGTACAATGAAACCTATAAAATCAGGAGTGGAGTGGGGACTAGTTGTTATGTAGAATCCATCCCAGTGGAATGTATTGAAAATAAGGCAGCATGGAGGGTATTTCTCATTGTGCCTAATTAAATTGGAGAGAGACTGTTTGCAACGGCCTGGAGGGACAGGACAAGGGGGGAATGGCTTCCTCCTGCCAGAGGGCAGGCTGAGGTGGGATATTGGGGAGAAATTCTTCCCTGTGAGAGTGATGAGGCCCTGGGGCACAGGTTTCCCAGAGAAGCTGTGGCTGCCCCATCCCTGGAAATGTCCAAGGCCAGGTTGGACGGGGCTTGGAGCAACCTGGGATAGTGGAAGGTGTCCCTGCCCATGGCAGGGGGTGGAATGGGATGAGCTTTAAGATCTCTCCCAGTCCAGGCCATTCTGTGATGATTCCATGAAATGGCGGTGCCGTGCACTGTAGGATATTGGGGGGGCAAATGTACAGCTGGGCAGGAAGAAGGATTGTGAGAGTGGGGATGGAGAAGGGTCGTTAAGGCTCTGTCCATAGAGGTGCTTGTGACTGACCTGTGGAATCCCTGACAGCGGCTTTGACTCCAGACTGCTCCATCCCTTGGCAGCCTTGTGAAGGCTCCACAAATGGTAATGAAAGTGTACAGAGCTTAATTGCACAATGTGTTGCCTTTGAAAGTCATAATGTTGTGTAACTACACCAGAGAACTAAATTGGAGTTGGGAGACCTGAGCTTGCACGTGGCACTTGTGTAGGGAAACAAAGTAAGTGGTAATTGCTGTGCCAGGAGTTGGGGGCTTAGAGGGCAAGAAAACATTGTATGTTGTCATGTTACTAAAACATGATGGTTGGGCCTTGTGATAGGCAGAGTTTTAGATTCTGTGTATCGTCCTAAGTGCCAAAAACTGACTTGCACGTGGAAAAATGTTTTATACAAAAAAAGAAAAATAATTGCTTTTTAAAACGCTGATTGAGTTCAGTGTGCAATTGAAATACTCAAATGTGCTGAATAATCACATTGATGGGATTTGATGTCTCTCTTGGGACAATCACTTGTTCCCTGATGCTCAGGTTTCCCCCTGAATACACTGGGAACAAACCAGTCAGAGAATATCATGGCAAAGGTACCGAGAGCCATATTTTCCAGTATCATTGGTGAGAGTCGTTCTCTCTGTTTTACCTCCTCTAGTTATGTGTGTTTGAGCTCTTTATGCCTCGTTTGCTGTTACAGTGAATGCAAAGCAATGAGGAATTCCCAGCAACTCCCTGGTTTTAAATATTTATACTAGGACTAACGAAGTGTAAATCCTCATGGAGCAAAATAAGGATGAGTGACCAAGTATTGAAAAAGAGTGGAATGAATTGATAGAACCAGAACATTCTTCAGGATACAAAGTGAGAATTGCTAGAACATGAGGTTGTGTAGTGGCTTGGTGATAGTCAGTTTGGTCTTGGATAAGCCTAAACATGTTCTTCTGATGGAATTCCAAGAGGAATTTCTTCCTGAAAAGGGTGGTCAGACACTGGAAGGGGCTGCCCAGGGAGCTGGTGGAGTCCCCATCCCTGGAGATGTCCAAGGAAGGACTGGGCATGGCACTCAGTGCTCTGGGCTGGGTGATAAGGTGGGGATCGGGCACAGGTAGGACTCGGTGGGCTGGGAGGGCTTTTCCAACCTCAGTGTTCTGGGTACTCCTGAAATACCTTGGAAGTGCAAAACACCTTTGCTCAAGTGCTTGTTTGCTTCCCTGTGTGGAGTTTCATGGTCTGCACAAGTGGTATGACTTGATTTCTGATGAGAAATTCCAAGTTTCTTGGATCACTCGGAGAAGTGGATGATCAGTTTTCCAGTGGGATTGGAGGTGAGCACGGGCTGTGGTGGCACGAGCGCAGCTACAGGTGCAGAAAAGGTGGTGATTTTTGGTGATTTTTCTTGCTCATGGAGAAACCCTCGTTCCAGGCTCATGCTGAGGACTCTGTAATGGATCATCACTTCCGCAAGCCCGCGAATGACATCACATCCCAGCTGGAGATCAACTTTGGAGACCTGGGCCGCCCCGGCCGCGGTGGCAGAGGGGGCCGGGGGGGCCGAGGGCGCGGAGGCAGGGCCAGCCGTGGAGGCAGGACTGACAAGGTGAGAGCTGCAGCTTCACCCACACGGGGGTTGAGTTCCTCTTGTTGGGTTTTTCCTACAGGTAGTTTTAGGAGTTTTCCTTATTCCTGGGGGAGATGCCCCTGACAGAAAACAGTGCATTTCTAAACCAGCTAAAGTGTCTTTTCTTACAAGCTTACTTTAAACAAGGTTATTGAATGTTTGAGCGGAGTTGTCATTAAACACAAAGAAAGGAGGGCAGGGAGTAGGCCGAATTAAAAAAAGCACCTGTCTTTGTGTTTGAACCTGAAAAACGACTTTCCAGGATGGACAGACCTGAATGTACCATGAGCTGCTTCAGTTTGTACCAGAGCAGAACCCCACGTGCTGGAGTGGTTATTTTCAGGCACAGTCGGGACACTTTCTGTGCATTGTGACCTGTTGGGGGTGACAGACTGGTTTTACAGCTGCATGTCATATCTTGAATTTGAGGAATTTAGATTTTTTATGGGGAAATAGGACTCACTGTTTTTTCTCTAACCTTCAGTAATATTTTTCCTTCTCTGGTGCTAAAGCACTGGGGAAATACCCTGGAAAAGTACTGACTGGGGTTTGGGAAAGAAATATATGAAGTTGCGGTACTGTAGTGTAACTACAGAGAAGATTTGATTTAATATGGATCACTTATTTGGCTCAAAGGCATCTAATCAAATTGTTACTAATTAGAAAATGAGCTCAGTCTGTGTGCTGTGGCTTCACACAGATCAGACTTGCTCATTTTTGTCTCTTACAGGAGACACAGACTTTTTTCTGTAAGTTTTAGGCTTATTAGTTGGGAAACTCCTTCATGATACCAATATAAGAGTATTTTAAAGAATTTAAATTAAACAGCGGTGGTTTGCTCTGAGTTGTTTCACTAATATTCTTAAAGAATGCTGACATTAAGTAGTTCAAAGCTTTTCTGCACCTGATTTTATGTTGCCTTTGTTTCCTTCCAGTTGGTTAAGGAGTTTGACGTGATCCACACGCCCAACCAGGTTGGTGACCTCTGCACATGTGTTCCCTCTGGTCAAGGACCGAAACCCCTCATTTTTATTGGCTGACTTTCTGTTGTGTGCTGAGCAACAGAAGATGCTGAGGCTGTAGCTTAAAACCCTGCTGTTACTTTTAATTCTGGTTTGTGGCCCACAGAGTCTTAGCTAGGCAAGACAGAATCTTAGTCTTGTCTATATGTGTTGATACAACTTTTATTGAAATGGTTTAAATGTATTCCTTGATAAATTAATACCATGACAGGAAATTCCACTATATTGGTTCTTCCTACTCTACTCATCCTATCCCTCATGGACAAAATGAAGAGTGTCCTGAAATACTTAATTTCTGCATTTCACTGCAGCACTGGCTTTTACATGTGGTTCAGAGCCTTTTAAAAAAACTCTTTTGGGGCGTATTCAGGACATTCTTGGCTAATGTACGAATGTTTAGGGCTAGGTTGGCACAAAAATTCTTTCTATCAACATGTAGTTTGTGACTTGGGAAGAATTAAAAGCGGGAAACTTAATTTGTGCTACAAACAGGCCTTTTCTGTAACACTTCAGTCATGTCCCTCAGGAAGGATTGATGGCTCTGTGCCAGTAAAATAACATGAGCTGCCCATGGCAGGGGGTTGGAAGTAGATGGTCTTTAAGGTCCCTTCCAACCCAAACCATTCCAAGATTCTATGATGGAAGAAGAGTTGCACTTGGAACCTTGTGCAATAATGATGTGCAAGCACAGTCTGATTGCCTACAGTTCCTGTTCAGATAGTTTTGATTCCAGAAGAAGTATAAGGACTATTTCTGGTCCTTGAAATAGACTTAAAAAATTGCTTTTGTACTACATTGTCCAGCCCCAGACTTCTCACTCTGCTGTGCACCTCTAAACCAAGGTAATAACTCTGACGTTTCTCTTTCAGTCAAGTGCTTCTGCTCCTGACGTAGATGACCCAGAGGCTTTCCCAGCTCTGTCCTAAACTGGATGTCATAAGCCAACCCTGCCCTGGTCGGGCTCTCCTCTCCGAGGCTTGCATGCTTAAGGATCCTAAAACAACTAAGAAACTTAAAAAAACAAAACAAAAAAAAAAAAAAAGAGACTGTCATTCATACCATTCACACCTAAAGACTGAATTTTATCTGTTTTGAAAATGAACTTCTCTCGCTACACAGAAGCAACAATATGGTAGTCAGTTTTGTATTTAGAAATGTAATGGTAGCAGGGATGTTTTCATAATTTTTTCAGAGATTATGCATTCTTCATGGATACTTTTTTGTATTGCTGCTTGAAAATATGCGTTTCCAAACTTGAAATATAGGTGTGAACAGTGTGTACCAGTTAAAAGCTTTCCCTTCATTTGTGTTCATTTTTTTAATTCAGGATTTTAGACTTTTTTCTCCCAACTCCAAACTGGGTTTTAAGTATTGCACACTATTTCCATTTCCTTAATTTCTGTTTAGCAGATTTTTCTCAGCCCGTGGTCTTTTGGAATATGTGGAATACGAATTTGGCAGACTGTTAGTGCTGCATGGAATGAACTCCTGGAGTACTTTAGTTTTAATGCTTAATTTCAAACATGGAAAACCAGTAATTTTTCATCTCTGTTAGGTAGTTTGTTTACACAAAACCTTTATACAAAATTGATACCAGATACTTGAAATCAAGATTGAAAGCACATTGGTTTGTAGTTCAATACCTGTATTGATCCAGAATGATGTGTGGGTAATTGGTCTGAAAACCAGGTTTTTAAAATTAATGTATCCCACCTTCACTCACCCTTCTGACCTTTATTCCCTCCTCCTTCCTTCAACAGAACAAGATGCTTTGTTGGCAAAAAAAAAAAAAAAAAAAAAAAGAGTTTTTAAATTACCTTTGCTTTGTTTGAGAGGATACCCTGAGATTGGGGTAATTCCTGTCGTGGGAGCTGGGATAGCCTGAGATGGGGGTAATTCCTGTCATTGGAGCTGGGAGGTGGGGGGAAGGCAGTAGCTGTGGCTCTGTAGTCCACATGGACTCAGGTGGGATGTGGGATTGAGCAGCACTGTCTGGCACACAGGTACATCAGTACCTGCTGTACTCCCAGCACTGCTCCCAGGTCTTCTGGAGAAGGAACCCCAGGCCTTTGCTGGCTCTGGCAGGAGGGATTTTTGGCTCATCGTCTCCCAGCACTTCAGCTGTCCATCAGAATTTAGCCCTGGCTTTGTGCAGTGCTCAAGATCTGTTTGGCAGATCACCGTGAATGTTTTTCTGAGAGTGATTGTAAGAAACCCCTTCTCCCCCTCTGAAAGTTCACTGTAGGTTTACTTTCATCCCTGTGAGCAGGAACATCACCACACACAGAAGGAGTTGAACAAATTAGTAAGAAAGAGGATTTCTTAGGGGTTTTATCTGCAGCATTTGTTAGGAGATCAGGAGCAGATTTCCCACTTTATTTCATGTTTTACTCTTTGGACAGCTTAGAACATATTTGTAGTTTCTTAACTAGGTAGATAGAAAACTAAAGGTAACACCCTATTTTTTTAAAAACTGTACAGGACTGGCAAGAAGTGTTGGGGACCTTTGAATATGAAATCCCAGCCTCCTCAGTTGTGATGTTAGTGGCTGGCTTGCTTTTCCTGAGCAATTTTCTACAAGCGCTTGTGTTGTGAACCACTGTGGGTAATCATTGATCTGGTTGTTCAGTGCACTTGCCTGTATTTAAAGCTCCAGGGTGTGAGGAGGAGGGTGGTAAAATCTCTTGGTTCAGCTCTCTTGACCTTGTACTCAGTGTGGGGCAGGTCCAACATGGAGTTGTTCCTCTTCCCCCTGCCGTTGTGGTTTGATGGGATGTGTTGCAGTTCCAGCACTGGGAACACCTTGGATAACACAACTAATACCTTTATGCAGAAACACTTAGAGCAAAGCTTTCTCTGGAGTATAGGCTTCCTTCCCCTTATCCAAAATGTGTGTTTGCCATTCCAGTTGCCATTCTGCTTTTTTCCAGATGATTCTGGGCAGGGATTTAGGACCCTGCAAGCTGGATTTAGCCAGTGGCTTTCCCTTCTCCTGCCATGTAGCACAGAACAGTCCCAAACAGCACCTCATGTGTGATTTTCAAGACAGCTTGTACTTACACATGGTCCCTCTGCTGTTCTGACAGATGTAAATTTGCCTCTTTCAGTCCATTTGTGTCAAGAACTAAAACTGTGAACATTTATCTTTAATATTGGTGGGTGTTAACTGAAATAAAAGTTTATTTTCATGCTCTTTTAAAAAAATGTCCTGAAAACACATGGAAATGAAACCACTTAGGTTAATAGTGTCTCATCTAGGTTCTGCCTCAAGAGGTCCAGCCTGCCTGTGGTAGTGCCCAGGCATTCCCATTCCCAGGATGGACTTTGCCTTGGGAAAACCCAAGTAGCTTATGAGTAAGGAGCTTGCTCTTAGGAACATTTTTTGTCCTCTTCCTGCTTCTGCTGTCACACCAGATCTAGAGGACTAGATCTTTTAAAATCTGATCCATTGGAAAAGATGGTCAGACGGAAAAAGTCAGAAACACACGGTGCAAATTGGCTTTGGAATGTAACAGTGGCTAGGTTGGAGCATGAAAGTTCATCTTGCAGTGCTGCCAGTGCATGGCTGTGGTGCTGGGAGGGAACAAGAGTGATGAACAAGAGTGATGAAAGTGTCCTTTCCCAGGGTGTGGGAAAGGACATGGATTCTCCTGGAATGTGGGAATACGTGGTGTTTGCAACTGGAGGAGCTCAGACCACCCTGACCTGTAACAACTCTGCCCACGGTGATGGGTTTGCGTAGCCACACCTGGTTTAATAAAGGCAAGAATTGGACCTAAAGCTGCCACTTCCCAGCAGGTGCCAACCTGCTTCTTTCCTAAAATCATTCCAAGGACCACGCTGCCTTCCCTTTGTACTCCTGGGCTGCTCTGCCATCCCCAGGGACCAGGCTCAGGGGGTTTGAGCAGGGCTGGGTGTCTCAGGCAAGGTCCGTGAGGTGGGCGCTGCCCTGGGACGGGCAACCTGATTGGGGGAAAATGGTTCCTTTGCCCTTACTGGGAGACTCAGGTCCTTTCCTGGAACACTTCCAGGTTGGAGTTAAAAAAGTCTGATCATTGTCCTACTAATGATTCTTGACTTAACACTTGATTTAAAGTGCTCTGTGTGGAAGTTTTATCTGGAGACGTGCAGAATGAGGGCTCCAGTGTTCTGTTTATATGTTGAAGTAGAAGATCGACACGCAGAAGTGGATGAATGACAAAATAATGCTTTTTAAAAAACCCACTTTTTTGGCTTCTGATTTGCCTTTCTGGGTGTCTAATTTGGTTGTACGCAGCCGACTTGGGGTACTCATTTGTGATATGATGCCCAGCCAGTCCTCTTGGCAGGGAGGTTGCCAGGTGAGGTGTGGAGAGCAGGAAACTGGTGTCACAGTCCCGATGGAGCTGAGTAATCAGCATAACCCCGGGCTGTTACTGTCTCCAGGGGCAGCGTGTGAGTATTGACAGGCATGAGCCTGTTCTGCAGTGCCTTTGAACATGGGAGCACTGGGGCTTTCTGTAGAAGGTAACCCAGCCACAACTGGAATGAAAACAGGGAACAGACTGAGAAAGATCCCCCAAACCCGGCCCTGGGGATTTGCTTGTCTCTTCACACACGAGACAGTGTGGAGAGCTCCAGCCTTGCTGTATCAACCTCGTGGTGCAGGTGCATCTCTGTCACAGCTCTGCCAGGAGACCTTTGCTGTTCCTGCCAGGTGGGATAATGGCTGTCCATGGAGGTGTTCTGGGATGGTGGTATGACAGAAGGGTTTCGTCAGCAGTTTTGCCACTGCTCGTGTAGCTGTCAGTGGATGGAGAGTGGCCACCTGAGCCTGGGGAGGAAGAGGAGGGTGCTCCAGGTAAGTTCAGACCTGGACTACATCTCTAGCAGCAATGTTTTGGCTTTATTTTTGTTTTTAAAGACACCTTGTTCTGTGTAAAGCTGCAGCATAGCCCTGGAGCTTGACCAGAGAAAACAACAGGAAACCAATTTCAGATTTCCAACATTTTATTTATATACACACACATCTCATAAACAAAGTCATTAAATGTGTAACACACTTCAAACCTGTAATTAGAATACTTCAATAAATGATTATAATTCCTCTTGACAGTCCATTTGGCTGAGTACAGGTGCTGCCTGCTGCTTTTGTTTCTGGGGAGGAATTCTTTTCTGAACTGAGCCAGGAAGTCCCAGCCGTGTCCCTCAGTGCCCCCATGGGACTGGTGTCACTGGGAGTTCTGATTTTGTGCCAGCGGAGGAGCAAGGGCTGCAGCCCATGTCTGCTCGGCTGGATGCTGAGCTCTTTCATCCTTCCGTCTTGTAGTCCCCTTGCTCTTTCTGGGTTGAAATGATGTTAAGCACAGCTCTGATTCCTGGGGTGGACCCAGCCAGGCTCGGCCATTCGTGACCAGGCAGTGGGACAGGGCTCGAGGCAACCCGAGTAATTAATGATCCTCTCCCCAAGCCAGCTCTGCCATCCCAAGCTGTGCCTGAGTGCTGTGGGTGAAGAGATGCCACGTTGAACAGTGAGGTGAGACTTGGAAAGGTTTGTGGGTCGGGGTTTGTGTCACCTACAGGTGTCACGTACAAGTGACCCCCCACCTACCTTGGGAAGGAGCTACAGTTGAGCTTCACTCTGTCCAAAGTGAGATTCCCTTCACAGCAGAGGGTGGGTGCCAAAAAGGTGGTTGGGAAGATGGACAGCAGGTGGCACTCGAGCTCGGGGTGGTCCATGGGAGTGTCTGCGGGCAGGGGCAGGTCTGTGGGGCTGGGGCTGGTGATGTACTCGGGCAGGTCCATGGGGTGGTCCCTGGTGGTGTCTGGAGGTGGGGGCAGGTCAGTGGGGCCGGGGTTGGTGATGTACTCGGGCACAGGCTGCAGGTGCTCCATCGCTTCCACCACCAGCCTCTGGTACAGCTCAGGGAGCTGCTGCTCCTCCCCTGGCTCCGAACTTGAGCTCTCCTGTGTCCAGTCCCTATGCCTCCTGCTGCCAGCGCTGCCCACCAGCAGCTTGTCCCCAGGGTCCGGGGGATCAGGCTGCATGAAAGCTTCCTCCACGGGGGTTGGTTCAGGCTCTTCAAAGCCGATGGTGCTGGGCAGGAACAGGATAGAGGATGAGCTCAGCTCTGCCTGTGGAGGGACATGGAATTAATTCTGTGGTGAATATCCTGAGACGTCCCTCCCCACAGCAGCTCATCCTGCTAAAACCAAAGATCTCTGCATTCTTCTTGAATCTAATTTGCTCAGCACTTCCTCTGGTCTAGCGCGAGCATGGGGATTATCCACTGCCAGAGATTGCTGGATTTGCTGCTTGAGGAGATTACTGGCTTGCATGGCTCCAGTCGCTGGTTTTTTTGAAGGTCGTGGGATTAGAATGCAAAACCCCTGTAATTTACCTTGGTAACCATGAAGCTTTTGGCCCACGTGGCGTTAGCTGGGTCGGGAATGGCTTTGTTCTGCCACTGTGGCAGGAGCACAGAGAGGAGCCAGTGGAACCTGCAGGGGGGAGAAATGCAATTAAAGGCATGAACAGGGATACCTGCAGCACCCATGTGTTCCTTGGAGGGGGATTAACCCAGGAGCTTGGTGTGATCGTGGATCTGCCCCCAGCTGGGTGGGGTTAATTCCCAAGGTTTGTACCCCTTCAGTTTGGTTTTGATGGAAGCAGACCTTAAGATCTGGGTTAAAAATTCACAATATCTGTGAACTACTGCCATATTATAATCTCAGTGGGTGTTTTTATTATAATTCATGTGCTCTGAAACCTGCATTCCAAACAACCCTCACTGTTTCCCAGGTGTCCTGAGAGGACATGACCATCCCATAGGACGAATGAGAATGGTATTAAATAAAAAGAGGATCAATTTAGATTTGTTATTAGGAAGATGATTACAATGCACTGGCACAGGTTGCCCAGAGGAGTTGTGGCTGCCCCATCCCAGGAAGTCTCCAAGGCCAGGTTGGATGGGCTTAGAGCAACCTGGTTGAGTGGAAGGTGTCCCTGCCTATGGCAGGGGATGGAACTGGATGAGCTTTAAGATCCCTTCCAACCCAAACCAGTCTGGGTTAATCCCTTCTAATAACTATTCCAGTTTTATTGTTTTATTTAACAAATGGATCCACTCACGCTTTTCTTGCTGGAGGCACAGAACAAACACAGGCTGAGAAGATGAAGAAGCTGCAGGTGAGCACCGGAGTCACCCAGCCCCTGGCACCTGAAATACAGAGCACCCTTCATTCAGCTTCATCAAAAAGAATTAAAAAATTTAAATACACTAGTTCAAGTTGGTCAATAAGAAGTCATGGCCTGACTGGTGTTTGCACTCACAAAACATACCAGCATATTTTTTTCTTTACTGCCCTTGCACTGCTTAAAATGTAATTGTCCCAAATCCAGATTTTATACCAGGAAGCCTTTTTATTTTAAGGTGCCCTGTTTTCTTTAATTTCCCTTCCTGGTCACCGCCCTGGATTTGTCCCCCAGTTAATGGGAGAAGTCTGCCTCCAGAGCAACCCTGCTCCCACAGTGTGGAGAGGGATTTCTCCATCCTTGGAAGTGTCCAAGGCCAGGTTAGAGGGGGCTTGGAGCAACCTGGTCTAGTGGAAGGTGTCCCTGCCCATGGCAGGGGGTGGCAAGGAATGGACTTTAAGGTCCCTCCCAACCCAGACTGTTCTGTGATTCTATGAATAAACCACCCTACTGCCCTTCGACTCCAAGAAAATATCTTGGTACAGAACTGGGAGCTTGAAGGCAAAGAAAGAAATGCTACATCTTAAAATTAGCTGAAATTAGAAATATTCAGCATTTGAAGAATAAAAAGAGGTCTCCTGGAGACCTTTGGTAATTAAAGAGGAGCAAGAAAAGCATTACCAGGACCCTCCTGGCCCCACCCCCGCACAGTGTCATTACTTTCCAGGCGGAGCCGGTCGCTGTTGCCCGGCGGCCCCTCCCCGGCCGCAGTGGACCCTGTCACCCACAGGTCGTAGAGCTCCCCTGGCTGCAGGTCCGGGATGTACAGGGATCCCGGGGCCGCCCCACTGGGAATGGCTGCGGGGAAAAGGGGGAGAAGGACTTGAAGCACCTGCACCAGGGTTTTACTGTGTTCAGCTGGAATGAAGTTCTTAATGAAGTCAAGGAAAAATGAGGAAGAAGAAGAGGAAGAAGAGGATGAAGAAAAAGAGGAAAGAGCAAGAAGAAGAGGCGGAGGAAGAAGAAGAGCAAGAAATGGAGGAAAAAGAGGAAAAAGAAGAAGCAGAAGAAGAAAAAGAGGACGAAAAAGAAGAGGAAGAAGAGAAATAAAATGAGGAAGATGAACAAGAGGAAGAAGAGGAAGAAGAGGAAGAAGAAAAAGAAGAAGAAGAAGAAGAGGAATAAGATGAGGATGAGGAATAGGAATAATAAGAAGAGGAAGAGGAAGAAGAAGAGGAAAAAGCAGAAAGAAATCTGATAGTTCCACACTCAAAGGAGCTTGGAATGATCCCACTAGAAACCTTCAGTAATTAAATGGGAGCAGGAGAAGCATTTCCAGCTCCCAGACACCCACCATAGACCTGGGGGTCTCCCTGGCTGTCCTTGGTCTGCAGGTACACGTGGTACCCTGTGATGCAGCCCCTCTGCTGGGGAACAGGGATTTCCTCCCATGACACCAAGACGCCGGTGGCCCGCGGGATTGTGAACATCTGGGGCCCAGCTGATGGGGCTGCAAGACATAGGACTGGCTTTGAAAGCTGAGCTTAAGGAGCTTGAAAACATCTGGAAGATCATTACTGTGATTTACCTTGTGCTGTGGAGTATCCTCTGACTGACACTGCCTGTCCAGCTCTGTCCTGGTAGAGAGCAAACACACGGATCTGGTAGCACATGTTATCTTTGATGTGCTCTAGATAAAGGAATTAAAAGTGGATAGTTACCTTTTATAGTATTTGCACTACTGGCCAAAGTGTCTGCATCAGCTGCTTAAATCTGAGATGGATCCTCTGATTATTTGTAGGTCTTTCATAAAGAAGGGAAAGAAACCTTCTCTGTGATCTAGGCAGAGCCTTACTGGGCATTAAACTGAAAATTAGTGGCTTCCCACTACCAGAGGGAAGGATTAGACTGGAGATTAGGGAGAAACTCTCTCCTGTGAAGGTGGTGAGGCCCTGGCACAGGTTGCCCAGAGAAGCTGTGGCTGCCCCATCCCTGGAAGTGTCCAAGGCCAGGTTGGACGGGGCTTGGAGCAACCTGGGATAGTGGAAGGTGTCCCTGCCCATGACAGAGGGTGGAATGAGATGGGCTTTAAGGTTCCTTGCAACCCAAACCAGTCTGGGTTTCTATGGAATATGCTGCTTTTTCCAGCTCATTTGGAGCAGGGATATGAGAGGACAGAGACACAGCACCAGGACAGAGGATAGGGAAGACTAATGAGGGTTCTCACAATCACCCCTGTTGTAACTTCACGGCTATCACTGTGCAGAGCACTGACATGTTGTGCTGCTTGGGGTTAGTAACCAAAATTAGTAGAAAGGAAATAGCATTTTCTTAGGCCTTTGATCTCTGGTACCTCTATCTGGCTTGTTTCATATTGGAGAGATTGGTTTTTCAGAGACATTTTACTTTCAGATACAAAGCTCAGCTGAGAGCAGTTGCAGAGCTCAGCCCAGGGCAGCCACCAGTTGTTTTCTCTCCTATACAAAAAGCTTTCAATGCCATAATTTCTTATGCTGAATTAGTAATAATGATGGAATCACAGACTCTTTGGTTTGGAAGGGACCTTAAAACTCATGTCATTCCACCCCCCGCCACAGGCAGGGACACCTTCCACTAGACCAGGTTGCTCCAAGCCCCATCCAACCTGGTCTTGGAGGCAAAATTCCAATCTGACTTATTCCTTAAAATATCTCCAAAATAAACTGGTACTTTGGTTGTATCCAACCTTGGGGTATATTTACCTGCTATCACTGTGGACAGGTTGGATGCGGGAAGCTTTGCCCAGGTGTGATGGGGCTCCAGGTGTGGGTTCCTCCCTGTCTCTGCCCACTCCACCACGTACCCACTGATGGGCACAGCAGATCTGAGGGGTGGTTTCCAGCTGACCAGGATGCTGCTGTTCCCCATGGCCATGGCAGAGACT